ATAGTAACGTGACTGCACCACATTTTCTTGTTAGTAACAGTACTGGCGTTGTAACGATAGAAATAGTAATTAGTTAGATTACTCATTACTGAAAAAAATAATGCTGTTAGTAACGTTATTACCATCATCCCATTGCGAAAGATTTCACCAGGTCATGTCAGGGCAGGCAATCAGTGTCTACACTGACCACAAACCAAAGATAGCATTCTTAAAAAAAAAACATAAAATTTAAAAAAAAAATACTAAATGACTGTCCACTGAGAATCCAAAGAATGATGATCCAGCTGCAACATTACAAGCTTAATGTGGTTTACACTCCTGGTAAATTGATGTACACAGCCAACGCACTATCCAGAGCTGAATGGCTGGCGAACACCAAGATGGATGATGATGTAAGAGCATATGTGAACATGGTCATAAGTGCACTTCCTGTTGCAGAAGGGAAGATGGAGCTCATAAGAGCAGAGACAAGCAAAGATGAAACGTTACAAACTCTGCGCAAAACCATCATATTCAAGAGTATTGGAACTTCAGAGCAGAACTCTCTGTAGTGGATGATATCATGTCAGGCATTGGAAAATGCAAAAGAAGAGCACGTGAGGTGATGTACTGGCCACGGATTAAAGAAAATGTGACAAATTAAGTGTTGAACTGTTCAGCATGCCTGAAATATCAAGCAAGCAATCCTGCTGATCCACTAAAGCCACTCCCAGTGCCAGACTGACCATATCAGAAAGTGGGGGCTGACCTCTTTGTTTTTGGAGGAAAGGACTATATTGTGGTCACAGACTACTTCTCTCTGTATCAACAACAGAGGCTGTAATTACTTCTATGATAGCCATATTTGCAAGACACAGTGTGCCAAGTGAAGTGTTCACAGACAATGGACTGCAATTTTCCAATATTAAGTTTTGACAGTTTGCCAAGGAGCCCACAACATCAAGCCCACATTACCCACAATCCAATTGACAAGTGGAAAAGTCAGTCCAAACAGTGAAGAGGCTGCTGAGCAAGGCAAGAGACAGTAGTACTGACTTCTAACAAAGCCTGCTAGTATACCGCACAACGCCACAAAGCAAATGCTCCAAAGGAAGATCAACCAAATCATACATCATTCAGGCAGAAGATGATGCTATTTGAAGACAAATTCGCCAAGATCTTCTGGACATGTAGAGTAGAATAGAGGTTGGAGGCTGATGAACAACCCCAACACACACTGGAGACACTATCACCTGGAACAGCTACACATACATAAGAACAAACACAGAAGATCTGTAAGACAAGTAAAGCCACCTATGAGACTGATTGAACAGAGGTAAATGTGTTGATACGTTGTTTGGAAGATAATACTGTCATAGTATTTACACAAGTTGCACAAAAATTGTGTACTGGTGTTGAACTGATTATGATTGTTGAAAACTAGTTGTGCTGTTAACCTTTAATTGACAAAGCTTGGTTTAACAAGTAAAAGGAGAGATAGTTTATGTTTATGAAAGTAGAATTATTATATTTTTAAAAAGGGATGATATAATGATAACAGCAAAAGCATATTTGCTTAGTATCAGTGTTTGATGTTGATGTTGTTAATATGCCCAGACTGTAGGGGGAGCTAGAGGTCTAGAGAGGAGTTACCTCACAGCAGACTGGCAGAGTTGCTGTTCACATGTGATTAACACCAGTTTGATAAAATACCTTCTCTTCAAGTAATGGTGTTGTCATGGCCCTGAGTCTGACGACTCTGTGTTTTGTGTTTCTTTATGTTATTCTATGTTCTTGTTTATTCTGTTATGTCTTTTGTTAAGGTTTGCCATTCGTTAGGGTTTTGTTCTGTGCCTGCCTGCTCCCACTTCTCTGTGTTCCCTCTGTCTGTCCATGGTGTCACTGTGTCTGGTTGTGAGTCTTGTCTGTTAAGTTCAGTGTCTTGTCTGGTTCTCTGTGTCTGTAAGTTTCCTGTTTTATTCTGAAGGTCTCTGTCTCATGTGAGTGTGTTCAGTTTACGTTTCCCCTGTCTCGTCAGCTCTGATCCCAGGTGTGTTCCGCTCCTGTCTCCCATCCCTTGATTACTGCTGTGTGTATTTAAGCCCTGTGTGTTCTCCTGCCTGTTGCTGGTTCATCTGTGTTCTTTCCCTGTGTCTCCCTGCATCTCTGTTTCAAGGTTTGTTTTTGCTTAGTTTTCCCAGTTTAGGTTTTTTCAGTTGTGTTTTCGCCACCCTCACCTTTGTTGTATGTTCACTCTCCATTAATAAAGCTCCCTCACATCAGTAGTGCCTGCATCTTGGGTCTTTTAATAATTCCACACGGTTTGCCCTGCTAACCGTGACAGGTGTTATTATTGAGAACCCACAGCTAGAGAAAAGGCACATAGCTCAAAGAAAGAACTGGTGTCTACACAAAACACAAAACTCAGCTAAGAGCCTATTTTAAATTGTGTCTTTAGGCACTTTGTTTCTAGCAGCCTATTGCAAAAACATACAGTTTGTTTAGTTGAATCTATAACAAATGTAAAGTTAGTTGCATTTAGCAGACATATAGTTGTACTTCTGCCAATAATCAAGATTATTCGCAAAGAACCATTAGCTTTATAAATCTGAGAAAGTTGAGGAGCAAAAAACATAAATAAGTGTCAGGCCTAAAAAATTACTAAAGACTGAGGATTAGTATCTGAAAGTCATGTCCTTAAGAGATGTTTCTTGTTTGTCATGCAAAATATTGGACCAAGCTCAGCACTCACATAGCAGGG